GGACGAGGAGCTGAGTGAGTTCCTATGGCAGGGACGGCCGGCTCTCTCCCCATTGGGATTCCAAAAGCGCAAGGTGCCAGGACAGTCCTGTGGGGAGCCAAGGGGTTTGAAAACAAGACCTTCTGGTGACCTGCCTCCGCCTGTCAGGCAAATACTGTGCCACAAAGGATGTACAAAGCAGAGCGGTGAGAGCTGGAGACTTGGAGTCAGGAAGGCCTGGGTTTAAGTCCTGCTGTGTTGACCCTGGGTAAATTACTTAACCTCTCTCAGCCTCAGCTTCCTCCTCATCATCATCAATAAATAAACAAACAAACAAACAAACAAATAAATAAATAAACGAATCACATTAATGCTTACCTCACAGGGTTATTGTGAGGATAAAATGCTATATAATACATGCATAACAGCTTTGCAAACCTTAAAGTGCTGCAGAAATTGAGGCTATTATCTCTTTTATTTTTATTAGTCAGGGAAGCTAGAAAGGCAGCAAGCCTCACTGAACTAAGACTTAGGTTCTGGTCTGAGTTCTGATTTCAACAGTGTGAAACTGGAAAGAGCACTCGAGTTGGAACCGGACCGAACCCCAGCTCTACTTTTTTCCTGCTTGGCCTTCGACAAATCATGCCACCACTCTCAGCCTCAGTTTCCTCCTCCATTAAAAAGATGGGCCTGGACCAGATGATTGGCAAAGTCCCTCCTAGCTGTAAATCCACTGATCCTATAAGTGCTTAGTGGTGGCCTTATTAGCCTCAAAACATCTCCACCTCAACCAATATGGAGCTCATTATCTTTTCCCCTACGCCCTCCCCTCTTCTAAATGTTCTTTCTTTCTTTCTTTCTTTTTTCAGAGGCAATCAGGGTTAAGTGACTTGCCCAGGGCTTCACAGTTAGTAAGTGTCTGTGGCTGGATTTGAACTCAGGCCCTCCTGACTCCAGGGCTGGTGCTCTATCCACTGTGCTACCTAGATGACCCTAAATGTCTTTATTTCTATCCGAGGCAACACTATCCTTCCAGTCTCCCATTTTTGTAACCTCAGCATCATTCTCAACTCCTCACTTTCTCTCACCCCACATCTCCAGTCAGTTGCCAGATCTTGCCATTTGTATCTCCAACGTACCTCTCACGTCTGACCTCTTCTATATACTCAAACAACTATCCCCTTAGTTCAGGCCTTCATTGTCTCTCCCCAGATTCTTGAGATGGTCCTATAACTGGTCTCCCTGCCTCAAGCCCCTCACCAACCCAGTCCAACCTCCATTCTATTGCCAAAGTGATTCTACTTGATCAAAGATGTGACCTTAATCAATCAGCTCCACTTGTTCCTTACTGTCTTCAGGAGCAAAGGTAAGCTCGTTTAGCTTCTAAACATCTCCTTCACAACACATCCTCCAATCCATTTATCCAGGCACATTAAAGATTACTGCTCCTACACATTGTGATCTAGTCAGATTGTCATCTAATTAGCATAGTTCCTGGCACATAGAAAGCCATTAAGCAGTGCTTGTTGACTTGTCTTGATTGACTGGTGTCTCTGCTCCTTCCACTGGACACTCTGCCATCTCCTGTTTCTGGGCCTTTGTCCTGACTGTCCCCCAGGCCCAGAATGCACTTCCACCTCACCTCCAGAATTTCTTCTTTTAAGACGCAGGTCAAGGACCACTTGCTACGTGGAGCCTTTCTGAATCCCCTCAACTGCTCCCTCCCAAATTACCTACTACATTATAATTAGTTGATGCTTTGGATTTATTCTTTGTATATTTATCTTCCATCTACTATATTTATACTACTTGAAGACAAGGAAATGTGGTATATACTGGAATATAAGCCCCTTGAGAGTTTAGTAGAGATTATTTGTTTTTTGCATCCCCAGTGCCTAGAACATTGCTGGACCCATAGTAGGTGCTTAACTAACACTTGTTCATTAATGACTTGACTAATAAGACCGTGGGCAATGTAAAGTTTTTTGTTAGTTGTAAAGTTTTGTTAAATGTGAAGTTTGTGGTTAACATATTTTAGAAAATTAGAATTCCATGTCTTCTGAGGATCGGACAATGATGTCTTCTGTACCTTTTCTTCCTCCCCTTGTCTTGCCTAGAATACCTGGTGGGATCACTTGCTTGATAACATTGTTGTGTGATGTGATGGCCTACCATTGTGCCGTGAAAGAACTCCTTAACAATCAGAACTGCCCAACAATGGGATGGATGGCATGGGATGCCTCAGGAGGAAGTCAACTCCCCATTCATACAGGCTGGATGACTACCTGACAGGGGTCTTGGAGAGGGGATTCATGCTTCAGGGAGGTGTTGGCTTAATGATATCTAAGGCCCTTCTAATTCAGTGATTCTAATTCAGGTATTTGGGCATTTGGGTAACGTGAGGAGAGAGGGGACTTTCACACTCATCATGTTGTATAAGAATCTCCTAGAAAAAGCACAGAATATATCATGGGCACTGATGCATAACCTCCACTTTTGAACAAAATAAATACAACCTAAATTACTCCCAGATTGAACCCCACCACTTAGAAAACCATGTGTGTGATGAAACTCAAATGGAATTGTGTTGGTACTCACTCATAAAACGTTGTCCATCCGTTCTCATTGCTTTTGGTTGCAAGGAGACCAGAGTTGCCATGGTAAGTCATTTGGGCCAATTCATGGCCTTGGGTTGTCACACTTTTGAGGGCACTGTTAGTGCCCATTGTCACCCAGTACACCTGGCCATCTGGAACCACCAGCCAGAGAGGCATCCCAGTGGAGTCCCTCCGCACATTCACTATGTTGCCATTGTTATCTGTGATGAGGGTGATGTCACCATCACCTGTGTAAGTGAAGTTGTACAGGTAATCTCCGGTGGGGAGGCTCTGGGTGTACAGATGTTTACCACTGGTGTCAAACAAATAGAGCTCCTGGTCAATGGGGGAGGACAGCTCATACAAATTCTGGGTGTTCAGGAATGGTTTGTTTTTCCGGATAAAGCGGATCCTGATATTTCCCAGATCAGCTACATAGAGCTCCCCATCAGCACACACAGCAAGGGAAGATGGGGAATTCAACTTAGCGTCCTTGGCATACCCATCATCCCCAGAGAAACAGTCACAGTTGGCATCATTCTTGCAGTCGCAGCCACTGGGAGCACCAGCGACCAGGGAAATCTCCCCATTCGTGGTGACCTGCCGGATTCGGTTGATTTTCTTTTCATCAGTCTCGGCAATGTACAGGACCCCAGTGTGAGAGACGGCCAGGGCAGTGGCAGACTCCAGAGTTGCATGGACTGCCACCTTGCTCAATAAGAAGTGGTCAATACCAGGCACCTGGCAGTGCATGGGTCTCCCAGCCACTATGCGGACCTGATGGTTCTCAGAGATCTGCAGGACCACGTTGTTGTCAAGAACATAGAGGGAGTTATCCATTGGGTTGATTGCCAAATCAGTAGGCCACTCTAAGCGAACCTGGAAACAGACACAGATATAAAGTGAGCTGCTATTTCTTATTACTTATTCACTCCCCATGACCATTGTTAACCATTCCTTCAGCAAATACTTATTAAGCTCCTACTGTATACAGAGCCTTGGGGTAGGTCCTATGGGATAAGTTTAGACAAGACATAGTCCCAATAATCAAGGAACCTGAAGTTTATTAATAATAAAACATATGGTGTGAGGTGTGGCACACATTATTACACAATAAATGTATCAGAAAGGCATAAAAGCACCATGTGAAACCTGAGGGACAAAGGACCTACCAATCATGGATCAGGGAAGGCCTGGGGAAGAAGGTAGCACCTGAAGTACCAAGAGGTAGGAAATAATGTAATGGAGAAGGCTTGGTGTAGGTGACAGATTGAGCCCCAACACTGATACATACTGGCTAAGTGACACCCCATAAGTGGACTTCTAACCCTTATCTGAACTCCTCTAGTGATGGGAAACTTACTACCTATCATGGCAGACCATTCCACTTCTGAATAATTCTGTTAGGAATTTTTTTTTAATTGAGATGAATTCTATCCCCCTGTAACTTGGAATTCCCACTTCTCCCACTTCTGCCTTCTGGTAGACAAGGAAGATTAATTTTAATAGCAAGGATAAAAACGATGCATCATATTCCAAAACCTCCATGCAAAGCCTGGTGAGGGATTTCTGATGAAGCTAGGCCACATTCAGCATTCGGCCCAGTGCCTGCTACAAAGAAGGCAGTTAGTTAATAAATGCTTATTGACTGACAACCTGACAGCCTTTTTCTTGAAGTCTCTCCTCCATATGCCAGCCTGAAATGGCCTTTCTCATCTCTGAACTTGTACAGCAGTTAGCATCTATGGTATTGATCCACCTACTAATCCTTTATAGTCTCATGATATCTTGGACTCTGGCATGCTGAAATGTCATTTAAGTCTTTGCTTGTTTTATTCATATTTGATGTGTTTATATTTTCTCCCACCAACTCTACCATTGGGTTCTTGAGGGTAGAGGTCTTATCAATATCTCTGTCTCACCAAGGTCTAGCAAGGACTTTCCAAATAGAGGCCAGTCAACAGGATAGATGAAAAATATTCCCATCTTCCAAACGAGCAAGCAGAAGCACTAAGAAGGGAGCCATGCAGAGACAGAGCAGGGATCTGAACCTGGATCTCCTACATCCAAATCTGGGGCTCTATCCACCCCCCTCCACAGCCCAATGCTCTTTCTGAGCAAAGGATTAAGGTTTCATAGGCCATACTGACGCATCCTTTGAGGCCTGGCTCCACAAGAACCAGCACTCATCAGGGACCTCCTGTTTATAAGAACTTTGTGCTGCTCTGGACAGGGGAAGACAGAAACTTTAGCTGAGGCAGTTTCAGCTCTCACAATACTCATGTCTAAGAGATGGTCAAAACAAACTGCTTTGTGGGGTTTGCTTATTCAGCTGCCGGCTACCCTCTGCAGCCTTTAATAATCCCCCTAGTTGGCAATGAGCCAATGGACTGGGAGTCAGGAAGGCCTGTCCACTAGGTGGTGCCAGGCCTGGAGTCAAGAAGACTCATCTCCCTGAGTTCGAATCCACTAACTGAGGGACTCTGGGCAAGTCACTTACCCTCTGTCTACTTTAGTTTCCTCATCTGTGAAGATCAAGTGGGGATAATATATGTACTTTGCAAACCTTAAAGTATTATATAAACCTTAGCTATTATTTCTCACTATTTCTCTCTGAATCCTCCTAGCACTTTGACTAACTTTGTAAGACACCTATCACTTTATCACGTCCTATTTGTATTGTAATAATTTGCCTATTTGCTTTCATATATTCCACATGGTGAGGATTGTGTCTTATCTAAATTTTTTTTTATCATCTGTATCTTTTCCAGTCTGGGGTAGAGATCTGTATACTGCAGGTATTGATAAGGGTTGCTGAATGAATGAATGTTGAATGAAGGTTGTGGTCTGTTGATGGTGGCAATGATTCATGTCTCTCATCTCTCTATTTTAGACATGGCTTTCCTATTCCTCATATTCTCCAGCCTCTGGCATCTGTTTCCTCTTCCCGTGGAGAGTATTAAAGCCTGTGGTTTTCTGTCCCAACTGCCTTCATGCCTCCTAATCCTCAGGAATACGGCTTCACGGCTGCCCTTGGTTAGCATCAAGACCACACTTTACTCGGAAGTCACAAGGGAATTTTCATTTTCTTAAAACTCATTTCTTGTCATCGTTGGCAGCTAAATATTTTATGCCCTCTGCTCTCGTGGTACCCCGGGGACCTGACTGCAGAGACCATTATGGCTGTCGCCAATGATGAAAAGACGGTCCCCAAATGCAGGAAAAGTATGTGTGTGCTTCTGAGTGTTTGTGTGTAGATTTAGGGACTATCAGAACTGAGAAAGGACGTGAGAGTATAGAATGTTAAAACACAAATGGTAAGAGTTTAAATGGGGTCTTCAAAACCCAGGCTAGAACAAAGAACAGAGGATGTTTGAAATGGAAAGGCACTCAGAGATCATTTAGCCCAATGCCTCATTTCACAGAGCAGTAAATTTGGGCCCAGGGTAGGAAAATGATTTCCACAAGTCCATATAACTAGTAAGCAAGACTGTTTGGACTTGATGGACATTCTGACCCCTGAAGGAGCAGAAACTGGAGCAGAGATTCCATGATTTGAATTGTTTCTTGACTCCAAAGCCCTTTCTACGCCACCATGCTGCCTCTGACTGCAAATCAGTGCATACCTACACATCTATAGATATCACTTCACCAAACAATGTGACTAGGAAGGAAAGCCAGCAAAGAAAGGAGATATTAATGATTCTCTCAGTAAACCATCTAGAAAGTCTATTAAACAGACCTTAGACAGGTAAGATGGAACTAGACCAAAGGTCAGATGACCTTTCCTAACTCATTGTGTGGCTAAGGCCAGGTCACTTGACCTCACGGGCCTGTGATTACTCGTCTTCTAATTGCAAACAATAATAAGGGGAGATGGGCTAGTTATTTACTGGTCATATGGCATTGGGCAAATCACTTAACCTGTCTCAGACTGTTGCCTCATCTGTAAAATGAGGGAGTTAGACTTAATTAACTCTAAGGTCCCTACTAATGCTAAATTCATTCTGTGGTTTAGGAAACTTGGATTCTAGTTCTGCTAATTCATTCTTTGACCTTGGTCCAATTGTTCGTTCCCCTCTCTAAGCCTTAGTTTACTTTTCTGTAAAATGAGGGGTTGGTCTAGACAATCTCTAAGGTTTCTTTTGTCTCTAAGATTCTATACACTTAATGTTTATACTACACTAACTCAAAGGGTTGTTATGTACTGAAAATAAATAATTAAGCAAAGTACATTATAAAACAAAAAAAAAATCACATAAATCTCAGCTAGGGAGCTAGCCTCAAATTTTAGAACTGAGTTCAAATCTAACCTCTGACACATACTGGCTGGGTGACCCTGGTGCAAAATACTTAACACAGCAACTCTCTTTTTTTCTTTTTTTTTTTGTAGGCAATTGGGGTTAAGAGACCTGCCCAGGGTCACACAGCTAGTAAGTGTAAAGTGTGTGGTCTGAGGCCAGATTTGAATTCAGGTCCTCCTGACTTCAGGGCCAGTGCTCTATCTATAAGAAATGCTATTTCTTTTTTCTTTCTTTCTTTTTTTATTTTAGACAATTGGGGTTAAGTGACTTGCCCAGGGGTCACACAGCTAGTAAGTGTCAAGTGTTTGGTCTGAAGCCAGATTTGAACTCAGGTCCTTCTGACTCCAGGGCTGGTGCTCTATCTAGCTGCCCCACAGCAACTCTCTTAAGGCCCTAATTTGCAAAGGAAATACTTGAAGGACTTTCCTCACTTGAAAGCTCCCTATCTGAATGAAATCTCAGGTCCCTCCCTATCCCTATGCTATTATCATAATTCCATAGATGGTGACATTTGATGCCTGCTTTAAAGACCAGGTAGGAATTCAACAGGTAAACAGAAGGAAGGAGGGTGAGCCAGGCATAGGACCAGAATACGTGCACTATCTAACCTCATAAAGGGTGGTTATGAGGGTCAAATAAGATGTATAAGCCAAATGTGAATATGAGTTATTACTATTATTATTAGGCCTTGAATCAGCTCCTGTTCTGCAGAAGAGTGAGGGAAGGTGGGAGCCAGGCATGGGGTCACAGGAAACATGGGGTCTGAGAAACTGTGAAAATACAAATAATGAGAGAGAGACAGAGAGAGAGAGAGAGAGAGACAGAGAGAGAGAGAGAGACAGAGAGAGAGACAGAGAGACAGAGAGAGACAGAGAGAGAGAGAGAGAGAGACAGAGAGACAGCACTATCGTGTGGACTGCTGTGTTTGTGAGGCCAAGGGTGTAAGACGCTTGGCTTGACTGGGGCTGTAACCAATTTGCAATCTGATGTAATTCAAGACTTCTCCCCTTCCTGTTGTTGCTAATTCAGACAAAAGTGTATGTATGCAAACCACCATTTCCTTGAGGTTAATCGGATTCAGGGCTGAGCTAGGCTGTGCCAAATGACCAGGCCATGAAGAAATAGGCCTCTGGCCAGGTCCTTCGTGGGAGGCCGAGGTCTCAGAGACCAGCAAAACAGGCTTCCTGCCTGGGGTTTTGACTCAGGGACCTTTCTCACCTGAGATACATCCATGACGGAGTCACAGCTGAGAGGCCGGGCAGAGGTCAGGTCGTTGGATCCCAGGAGGGTGGAGATAATCCCATTCTGATCAATGCGCCTGATCATGGTGCCATCCACAAAGTAGATCAACCCGAACTTGTCCACTGTAATGCCTGAGGAAAAGAAAGATAATAATCAACAACAATGGCAACAATTAGAATTTATGGAGTACCTTAAAGTTTACAAGGGTCTTTACATACGTTATCTCACTTGAGCAACCCTGTTGGGGTTATTATCCCTATTTTACAGATGAGAAAACTGAGGCTTAGAGAGGACAGGTGACTTGCCCAGGGTCACACAGTCAGCAAGTGTCTGGGGCAGAATTTAGACTCAGGTCTTCTTGACACCAGGTGCGGTATTCTCATCCACTGTGACATCTAGCTGCCAATGTGATACAAAATACGAGGTCAGCTGAAATCGGTGAGGCACGACTCAGGCCATAGGTACCTACTGGATCCCTTGAGGGATGTGAGATCGGAAAATTCCATCTCCAAATCACTGCTGCTGCTGACACCCCTGACATGTGTTCCCCAGACACAGACTTTCCACGAGCCTGTTTCCTTACATGTAAAAAGGGGATGATATTCCTGGCCCTGCCAATCTCAGAGGTTTGTTGGGAGAATCAATACAGATGATGTCTCGGAGAAAAGTGCTTTGTGGCTGTGAAGGGCTATAAAAAAAGTGAGTTGTCTCATCTTCGGGTCCCTATTTTCTGAGTGTAGAGAAAGTGGTAGCAGTTTGGGCATCAAATGAGACGATAAATATGAGAGGCCACCATCATAATGTAGGTTTTTAAAAAAAGATCTGAAGGGTCATCTTATGAGGAAAAAAAGAATTAGACTTAATTCTGTTTGGATTAGGCTCAATGGAACCAAGTCACAGAGAGGCAGGTTTGGGCTCAACCTAATAAAATAATGCTTCATCAAATATTTACGGTATGTGTGCCAGGCACTGCGTTAGGTGCTGAGGATGCAAAGAGAAAAAATGATAGTCATAAGAGTGAAAAAAAGCAACTCCCTAATGCTTAAAGCTCTCCCAAAATGAAATAGGCAATCTTGGGGAGTTAGATGGGTTGGGGAGGGGGCAGTGAGCTTCCCATCACTGGAGGTACTCCAGAAGAAGCTGGATGAGTGTTTGTTGGGAATGTTATAGAGGGGAATTATGCTTGGGGTAGAGGATTGAACTAGATGTTGTCTTAGAGGCCTCCCCACTCTGAGATTCCATGATGCTGTGATTCTAAGTTATAACAGTAAATAAAGAAATAATGAATATTTGAAGGGTTGTCATGCAGAAGAAAATGTCTTCTTATTCTGTTTTTCCCTGGAGGTCAGAACCTGGGGCAAAAGGAAGAAATAGGGTCAGACTTCAGCTTAATATTAGAAAAACCCTTCCCAATAATTAGATTGCCCTGGGAGGTGGTGAATTCCCCTTCATTGCAAGCATCTGAACCAAGGTTTGATGGCCATCTGCTGGATATGGGAGAGGCAGGATTCTTTGTTCAGGTAGGGGTTGGACCAGATGCCCTCTGAGGCCATTCTGGCTCTGAGATTCTGTGAAATGACCTGGAAGAGAAGTGTTGCTCTTGGTCACCCACTTGTCTTACTCGACACTCCTACCCCTTCTGTGATTTTCTTTAAATGGATCCTGACCGCTTATATTTTCCCTTCCTGCTCTGATATCCAATGACTATGGAACAATGCTTGAAGACAATAGAGGCTGGGGTGGGGGATGCGAGCTGATTCCTTCTATGTGTCTGAGGCTGATGCAAACAATGTCATAGCTGGAAGAGACCTTAAGAAACAACGTCACAACACAGCTAGAAGTACCTAGGAGTTATTTAGTCCAAACCCCTCATTTTACCAGTGGGGACACTAAGCCTCACAGAGGGGAACTGACAATGTCAGGGAACATAGCTCCTTGGGCAATACTGTGCTATTTACCACAATGCAGAATAGTCTAACGTGTCCTGGATTGGATTTGAATCCACTCTCTGACTCTTGGGTGACTAGGCACAGAAGTCACAACCTCTCTCAGTCTCAGTTTTATCATCAATAAAATGGGAATAATTCATACACGTGAGGGCAAATGCCCTTTGTTCCTGTTATTATCATAAAACACCGATTAAGAGCTACTCCATTAGCATTATATTTCTAAATGCGGGACAGTAATTTTTCAAAGAGAGGACAAGGTAAGTTCATAGAAGGGGAATCCCTCTTCCCTTGCCTGCCTTAGATAGAAATTAATTATGCTCTGCAGGCACCAAGACAGGAGTTTCCTTGTCTGCCTGGATAAGTTCCTGTCTTTTGTTTCCTCCCCCTCTCCATCTGCCAGAACTGATGAGGACTCAGTTAACAATGGTAGTTTTGTTTATGGCTCTGGCTGCACAAGCTAATAGAAATGATCAGTCCCCTGATTAATTCCTTCCCTTTTGTTGTTTTAAATAGATGGACTTCCCTCCCCTCCCTTGGCAAACTGTCTGCCAGTGGTGGCTGGGCTGTCACTTGGATCTGGGCTAATTACAGGCTTTGGGGCAACTCACCAGCCACAACATGTGTGTGTGTGTGTGTGTGTGTGTGTGTGTGTGTGTACAGAAAAGAGGAGACAATCTTTAGAAATAAGGAATCACCAAGAAGAGAGATGACTATCTTCTCTCGTGGGGTTTATACCTGATGGAGAGGTAGGGGATAACACTGCAGAGAGTCAGAGGATCCTGAGTTTACATTGCCCGTATCTCTTACTACCTTAGACAAATTCCTTAACTTCTCTGTGCTTCAGTTTCCTCATTCGTAAAATAAGATGGTTGAACCTTAGAGGGCCTCTGAGGTTCCTTCCAGCTTTGACTTATGATTCTGGGGTATAATTACCTCCTAAATACTAGGGAAGGGCAGTGAATGAGATTCAAAATTGTTATATGGGGATGCATATAAGGAGCTGTGGAGGGGTTTGAGGTTGAAGCAGAGGCAGTTTAGGGGAGACATAATAGATGGCTGTCTTCAAATATTTGAACGACTGTGAAAGAATAAATTTGAGGGTTTTTTGGTTTTGTTTTGTTTTTTGGTCCTTGAGGGCAGACATAGGATCTATGAGGGAAAGTTACAGAGAGGCAAGATTTCAGGTCAATATAAAACAACTACTTTCTGAGAATTATAACTGCCCTGAGATTCTGTGGAGCAGGCACACGGGATCTCTTCCAAGGTAAGGAGTTCCACGTCCCTGGAACTCTTCCAGCCAGGGCTGAATGATCACTGGATGGGGAGGATGAAGAAAGGATTCATGCTCTAGGGAGGGTTTGGACAAGGTGACCTCTGAAGGCCCTTCAAACCCTACCCCGGACAACTTGATATTCTGTACTGCGGATTTTACATATGATGTTTTCAATGAGTACAGAATCATATTTCAATTTATTGTTACTATTATTATTGCCTTTCTTTGTATCCCCAGTGCTTTAGCACATGTCTGACACACAGTAGGAGTTCAATAAATGCTTGTAGACTCACTGATTCTAAGGCGTCACATTTTAGGAAAGACATAAAAAACCTTAGACTTTTCATTGGTAACATCCTTTATGTCAAAGAAATGTATGGTCAGAAAGAAAGGACGTAGAAAGAGAGAGGGCTAACCAGCACCATGAGCACCAAAGGGATCTACTCAGTGTAAAAAAGAATACAAGGGACTGATTGCTGGGGTGGAAATGACGGCAGCCTTGATAGGGAAACGATCCTACCATCTTCTAGTTTGTAATAGAGGGCCAAACAAAAGCCAGGCACAGTCTGCCAACCTCTCTTAGAGCAGACTTCAAAGTGGTCAAAGGCAGGACGGGTAATGAGATGAACCACAATTCGAAAGGGGAAACCAGCAAGTTACTCCTCTCTTTTAGGCAGGAGGAAAGCCCCAAATCAATGAAATCTGTGATTCTTCAGGTATTGAAGCGTGTGGTAACAACTGTGTTCTCTGATCCAGAATTCTGTCTTCTCAAATCCCTACCTGCTATAAAATTCTCTGATGTGGGACACACCTCCAGGACGTATACCTGCTACTATAGATGTGTGAGGCTCTCCCGGCCTTCACAGGGTAGAGTGGCTCCAAGTGACTTTTGTTCCTGAGCCGGAGACATGTGCAAATTCTCTGATACAAAGCTAGAATAACATGGTAGGGGATGGGCGAGGGAGGGGTACAGCTACTCTCCTAATGAGGCTACAGTTATCCCCTTGACATCTTGACTTTCTTCACTGAGGTTTCAATATAAATCGAGGGTGGGCATAAGAAATTAAATGGGAATTTTTTGGGGAGTTTTGCGGAAGCTGCAGACAATGTGCCAAGGCCAGTAGATGATATAGAAAAAGTTTAGAAACTCAGAAATGCATAGGATACATGTATAATATTATATAACATCAACATTTCTCATCTTTTAATACCATAATAATTCAGATTACTTCTTTGGTATGAAGAGAGGGCCAAAACATTTTATGCAGATTTTTCCAGATCACTGGGGTAGGATGGTGCCTCTAACCCCCACGACGTGGAAGGGATAAATAACTGTGTATTTTTCAGAGGCTGGGAAAGGGAAAGAAACTTGTTCAACGGCTAGTGGTAAACTCATATTGTTAGAGCTGGAAGAAACCTTAGCTATCCTCTGATTTGGCTGCATCAGGCTGAAAAAACTTGTTCAACGTCACACAGCTAGCAAGGCATAGGCAGAACTGGAACTAGAAATCAGTGTCAAGTCTAGTGTTCTTTCTGACTCTGGGTCAGGAGGGCAAAGCTGAAATCCTGGTAATGTTCCCGTGGGCAAGTAACTTTGGCTTATAAGCCTCAGTTTCCCTATCTGTAAAATGGAGATAAAATTTATAATGCTTACTATTCACACCGTGAGAATGCTATTTTTATGTTGCAGTACTCTGTTTCCCAAGAGTGGGCATCTTGGGGTGCTTTCCAGGTCAACGCTTTTATAAGTGGCTGAGTCTCTTTTGTGGACATTGTTGTAGTTCAGTCGTTTCAGTCACATCTGATTCTTTGTGACCTCATTTGGGGTTTTTGTGGCAAGGATACTAGAGTGGTTTGCCACTTCCTTCTCCAGCTTGTTCTACAGATGAGGAAACTGAGGCCCACAGGATTAAGCGACCTACCCAGGGTCTCATAGCTAGTAAGTATCTGAGGCCAGACTTGAACTCATGTTTTCCCAATTCCAGGCCCAGTGCTCTATCCACTGTGCCACCTAGCTGGATAAGGAGCAGTAAATTTTGCTTAGAGACCTTCCTGCTAGGTCATGTAATGGATAGAGGTCTCCACTTGGGAGTCAGAGATTGTGAACCCTGACCCAATTATCTGTAGAAGAATCCCTGCATTTAGAAATAAGGAATCACCAAGAGGAAAGATAGCTGTCTTCTCTCAAAGGTTTTATACTTGACAGAGAGGCAGGGGATGGAAAGAGTCAGAGGACCCCGAGTGCTCTGCGTGACCCTGGTTAAGTCATTTATCCTATTCAGCCTCAGTTTCCTCCTTGAGAACATGGAGGTAGTTATAGCACTTATTTCTCAGGGTTGCTCCAGGAAACAAAGGACATAACATATGCAAAACACTTTGCAAACCCTCAAAGTCCTGCATAAACGCTTAGCTTTTATTATTATTATAAACAAAATCTAAAGTTTTAAGAGGGTAGAAATGTATTAAGATAGGGAAGGAATGTACTAAAGCCGCTGAAAATTAAACCATTAATAATTTTAAAAAATGATTATCAGGGGAAGAAGCCATATGCATACATAAGTAAAAAAGAGGGATTAGTGTTTTTCCTCCAGTTATCTCTGAGGAAATCTAACCCCACTGGATTGAGGGTGCTCTTTGGAAAGGCACCCATGCTCAAGCAGTGCTAAATGGCAAGATGGATAATACGGATAAAAATCCGCCCCACGCACAGCTTCTTCCCAGAGGATTTCCTCTGGGCACCTCTTTCCAGGACTATTACATACCTCATCAGTACCCTCTAGTCAGAGGGTAGAGCCATCCACCCATACTGGACTCTTGGGGCCTCTCTAGGGGCTCCCATCTTGGCTACCTCCCCTCCCCACCTTCCCTTTTCATCTTTCTTTTGTCTGTTGTCTTCCTCTATTAGACTGTAAGTCCCTTGAGGGCAGGGATCATTTTTCTTTTTCATATTTATATCCCTGGGTTGGCACGGTGTAGGTGCTTAGATAATGTTTATTAACTACTGATTATTATAGAACAGCTTCCTAATTGGGTCTCCCTCTCTTAAATCTTTTGCATCATTATAGTTTATTTCAAATCATACTATTTGTGTGTATATTGTATTCTCCTATTAGATAGTAAGCTCCCTGGGGACAAAGATTACATACCTAGCACTGAGCGTGGGGTCTTAACAACAGGCACTTAATGAGGTTAAAGGTTGTTGGTCTGAATTGCATTGAATGTTCCTGGGATTGCTAACCAATATTCAAACAGATTGCTGTTTTTGTGATGGTGGTTGCTGTTTGCTTCTCATCCCATCCCATGAGCTGGCAGGAAAATTATAGGTGAATATTAACTACCCCAGCCTGTTCCTTACTCCCAGGATTTGTCTGTGGAAAGAATGACCACTAGTTTGTCTTTACCCCTGGGATTGGTGAGTGTGGCTTCGGTTGCCTTCCCGCCATCACCACAGCGAGTGTCATCAAAGGGAAGGCACTGATCTCCCGTCCCTGCCACCACCTCAGAATTCTTGACGACATCCTTCACGACTGTGGTTGACTTGACCTTGAACACTCGCCGACTGTTGGTGTCAGAGAGGAAGATGGATCCAGTGATGGGGTCTGTCGTCAGGTAGTACTTGTGAGCGGGACTATGGCTGAAAGGCAAAGAAGGAACAATTCTAGTTGAGTAGCTCTTCTCTCCCAACAGGACAACATGAACACACAACCATCACCACTCAAGTCCAGAAGATACAGGCAAATGTGTCTTGTGCTGGGGTATTCAGTGAGTTGGAGGGTTTTGTGATGCCAGAAATGAAAGGAACCTTAACTCGTGCTATTCGCTATGTTTAGAATATTCTCACCACCCATCTTTCTGCCTACTGGCTTCCTACCCATCCTTCGATGTTCTGTTCAAATGCTACCTTTTCCATGAACATTTCCCCAGATTCCCTCTGCCACAAGTGATTTTTAGTATGTCTAAAGCCTATCCATAGTCTGATCTCATGGTACTCTGTACTTTTCTTATGCACTTATCGTATGATAATTTGTTAGATATTTTTTATGGGCATGTCTTAGTCCATTTATTAAACTCTAAAGTCTTTGAAGACACAGACCATATATTATTGACTTTTGTAACTCCTATAGGACCTAGCATAGTGCTCTGTTTATTCTAAGTGCTAAACAAATGTTTATTAAATGAATCAATGAGTCTAGTCCTTTAAAATTAGCTACACCATCATTTAATAATAGCAACAGTAATAGATAACATGCATATAGAATTTTAAAGTTAGCTTTACATATATTATCTCATTTGATTATCATCATTACTACCATTATTGATAATATAACTGGCAGCAAGTTGCTTAGCCACTGTTTAACTCAGTTTCCTCATTTGTAAAATGGGAATAATAATAGCACCTACCTCCCAGAGTTGTTATGGGGATTGAATGAGATAATAATTATAAAATGCTTAGCACAGCGCCTGTTACAAAGTAAGCCCCATATAAATGTTACCTAGTATTACTATTACTATTATTATCATAAACATGAATAATTTCAAGAAAGAGCCTGCAGATCCTTGGGAGACCTTCACACTTGGGGAACCATGGCTCTCTGAGATACTTGTTTAAGACTTTTGCCATTTATTCTTGGTTGACTATATCCCAGAATCAAAGAATGTCATAGGTGGAAGGAAACATAAGAAATGGGAGGGTCCAGCTTCCTCATTTTACAAACAGAGAAAGATGAGGCTCCAGAGATCTTACTGGTCTAGGGTCATACAACTGGTGTTTGAGTCAAGACTCAAGCCCAAGTCTCCTGATGCCAGGCTAGTGCTTCTCTGTGATGCTTTTCTGTCTGTCTCAGACCTTTTCTTGGTGTTACTAAAGATTATATTTTTGTCACAAGCCCAGGAACTCTACAGCCACAGTCAGTGAGAGAAGAGAGATGTGAGAAGAATTTATCATTGCCGTAGAAGTCAAAGCAGAGTCAACCAAAATGAAGCATTCTGCTTTCTGTTAAAGGTAGTATGCTTTGGAGAACTGAGATCAGAAATGGAAGGCTGAGAGGCAACAGACAAGAATGGGAGAAAGGAATCAAAAAGACAAGGTAATGAGTGTTCTGCGTTCTTTAGATATATTTAAGTCATTGTCTTTTGAGATGGCAGATGTCAGGTTTCTGTTATTACATCTGAAGGTATGATGTATATTGTATATGATGTATATAACATAAAATATATCTCTTCACAATGATTTACAATCTCATATTCCGAGTCTGGCAATATTAATCTGACAGCCTCAAGGAAGTCAGTTTGGGCTCCTGTAAATTCATAAAGCTCATAAGATTACAAGATTTAGAACCAGAAGGAACTTTAGAGCCTAGCTCATCCAGCCTTCTTATTTATAAAAGAGAAAACTGAGGTCCAGAAAGGAGAAGCCATTTGGCTGAGGTCACACAGCTAAGACTGTAGAGCTCAGAATCAAACCAAAGTCCTCTTCCTCTAAAGCCAGTTTCCTTTCCAGTAGAATACCATTTTGTCAGCCAAAATTGTTTGTTCTCAGGATGAGAGATTTGGGAAGGGACCCAGCAATCATCATGTACATCTCCCTCATTTTACAGATAAGAAGTAGGCCCCAGAGAACTGAAGTGACTTCTCCCACATCAGAGAGATGGCAAGTAGCAGAACTGAGATCTGAACCTGAGGCCACTGACTCCCACATTCAGTAACAGGTCAGAATATGAGTGGGCCTACTGCCAAGATTCTTGTCTCAGGGGGTTCCCAATGAATCAGGACTGATTGGTGGAGGGCTAACAGTTTCACAGGGGCTCCTCCTTAGCCCAGTGTCACTGGCGAAGCTTACTGTCCATTGACTAGTGATGGAAACATCCACACAGGATGTGCTGGGTCCTACCATCTAGACCTCTAGGATGGCATTCTTTGTCTCTCTAACATCCTCCCTCTTAACATCAATATAAAATTGGTTTCTCAAGGTTCTAATAATCCATACATCTCTTCTAGCCCCAAAGCTGTGTTCTAAGGTAGTGGTGTCAAATTCAAATAGAAATGGGGACCACCACATGGTACATAAGGATTCTTGCAGGTTGCATATTTACTTAGGAAACCACTTATTAACATTATCCAAGCTCACTGGTATTTTTCTTTATTTTATTCAGTATTTCCCAATTACATTTTAATCTGGTTCAGTGTATACTTGGTGAGTTTCTGGAGCGTGTTTGAAACCTCTGTTCTAGGAGACAAGTGTTATTGGAGATTGTGCTGGTACGGGGTGTGGTCTAATCCAGGGAGATAAAGTGTATTTGTTCATACTCCCACAGGCTGGCTGGCCAGAACTTCTTAAAGTACCCCAATAGCATCGAAGCAATGGGATATGCTAACATGGTGTATTAGAAAGAACCCTAGATATGAACTCAGAAGCCAGGTAGTGTAGGAGATGAACTCATAAACAGGAAGACCCAAGTTCGAATCTGGACTCAGACATTTACTGGCTGTGTGACCCTTAGACTCACTTAGCCAATCTGAGCCTTGGTTTTCTCATCTGTAAAATGGAGATAATAACAACACCTTCCTTATAGGGTTATTATAAGGATCAAATGAAATAATGCATATGAAGCACTCTGACTACTTAAAGTGCTATATAAATATTGGGTACTACTATTATTACTACTAGCTCCATGATCCTGGGCAAATCACAAATCACATTCTTGTCCCTAGGCCTCAGTTTCTTTATCTATAAAATGGTAATAATCATCTTTATACTACCTACATCATAGAGCTGTTGGAGGAAGACATTACAGTGAGCTTAAGGAGCTACAGAATTGTGGAGTTGTTATCATAAGTTATTAATGCCCCAGTTGGCAGAAGAGTTTTTCTCTGTATTCCAGAACAATTCCATGACTTATCCTAGTAAAGTCCAGGCAGATTTCCTCTCTCCAAATGACATGTATCGTGGCGACATCACATACAGGGACCCTCTGGGCATCCCAGGTCTGCCAACAAAAGCCTTCTTGATGACAGGAGACAGGTGGGCCATGATTTCACATACCCACTTGTCACTCGTGATAAGTGAGTGACAGACACCTTAGGGGAAATAGTCCTCAGGGTCAGGGTGGGGAAGTGCCTGTCTACTCTGATCAGCCCCATGTGTTTTCAGCTCACTGTTACCCTGGAGGCCCCCAAGGAATGTCATTCACACCAGGGATTTTTCAGATTACCAATACCAGGGGAAGACAGACAATGGACAATTTGGATCCCTGGGAAGGGCGACACGCAAAAGACTTAGGGTGAGAAAATCTGGCTCCAATGCTAATCCAGGGGGTTATCTCAGGCAAGTTGTTTGGCCTCTCAGGGTCCCAATTTCCTCCTCCTTAAGATGAGGCGGGGTTAATTAGACATTCCAATAAAAGAGGCAAATTTAGGCGTGATGCCACAAAAAACTGCCTAACAATTAGAGTCATGCAAGTAGCAGAATCGGCTGCCTTGGAGAATAAGAGATCAGAGGTTGTCAAGCAGAGGATGGACAATGGCTCGTATGTTCTAGTGGGGTTTCCTTTCATGTAGGGGCTGGATTCAATGGGTGCTGAGATGCATCCCAACTCTCCAATTCAGTGCTTTTATGATCTCATTTAATGCTCCTTCCAGCTCTGATGGTCAGTGACTCCATGACATACTATGGGCTTTACTTCCTCTGGCCTCATGTAGTAGGCTGACCCATCACTTTGTTATGAATGTTAATATCTGAAAACGGGTGACCGTGTTTCTGCCCCTGCCTTACTTTTTTACTAGTGGACTATGAGCTTGACCTGAGTCTACAGTGAGTCAGCATGACAACTCTTGTTGTCCTACCTTCCAGAAGCACAGTGTTTGGACCGGTCTTATTTCTTAGACCACATCTGAAGCAGGATGCTCAGTTCTGGGTACCACTTTTGGATGACACCAACATCCAAGGGGGTTTCCAGGGTGGGGAAGGGACTGGATGTTTGGCTTAGAGAAGAGGATATTTGCCTCTTGAAGGTCTGTCTGTCATGGGGGAAAGGCATGAGACTTACTTTGCTTGGCCCCAGATGGTTGAAGTAGGAACAGTTATAGAGAGGAAGATTTCAGTTTATTATAAGGAAAACTTTAAAAAGTCTGAAAGTAGAATGGACTGCCTCATAAGAAAGTGAGAGTTCCATCTCCATCATGAGAAGCCAGAGGTGTAATAGTTACTCATAGGAGTAGTTATAGGGAAAATTTAGGCATGAGTGAGACAAGGTGACCTTTGAGTTCCCTTTCCAACTTTAAGGCAACCACGATTTTGTCTCCAAAAGGGACATTCTGGTCAAATGGTAGGCTTCAGGCACACCACAAATATGGGATAGGGATTGGTCCCTTTGTTACAGCTAAGTAAGAAGGCAGGCTTTCTTCACTCTAGGTGGGCTCTCCAAATAGCTGAAAGTGATTTTGACAAGGTTAATGAATCATCTATGGAGAAAAGTTACAGGATGAGACATATGATGTCTGTCCTTTACCTACATTGGTTTTGGTAACAACCGAAATACCCATTTAATCAGCAACCTCATTTCTAAAGCCTGAGGCAGATGTCTTTAATCTCTGAGGGTGCTGTCACCAAGGGCAACTTTCATATTTTCCCAAATG